AGGTTTACATTTGAATAATTTTGATTATTTTTAAATTTAATCAGATGCCTAATGTAATCATTATCTTACATTTTTCAACGATTTTTTGGTAAATATGAAATAATTTTTTTTTGTGTTGAGATGCATCCATAAATTTTAGGTTTGTGGACAACACCTGTCAGCAAGTATATGACGTTCCAATGGGCCCTACAGTGAGTGTTTTGGCTGATCTCTAGACTGCCTTAGAGTAAAGACCGTTAAAGAATGCCCTGTAGAATTCCGGCGATTATTCTGTTCCAGATTTGTCGATTATAGCTTTATTGAGACCAAAAATTGCCGTGCTGGAAAAGCTGAAAATTTTCGCGAATTTTATGAATATATAGGGCATTAATGATCGAATGCGGTTTACTGCAGAGGCAGAGATAAACTAAAATATGTCATTACTTGACGAGCTGTGAAGGGAAAACCATCGCTTGAATTTGAGGTTTATTTTCATCGGTTTACTCACTCGAACATAATATATACTTGGTGTTGTTTCTCATCCGTTTTTTCAGAATCATCGCGAGAAGCGTTTTTGAGCGCGGGGAAACATGCAGCATCGATTACGCTCTAGACGGTGAAACAAACTTGTAAACAATGATTATTAAAAGAGAACACTGCACAGTGAACTTTCGTAGCCGTACTTGATTGATTCATGTCGTGACAGTTGTACAGTAATTTTTCTACACATACAGGAATCCAAACCAACCAGAAGATACCTTATATGGAGTTTAAGATCTACTACAAGAGAGTTCAGGGATGCTCTTATTCAAGAAGTATACTTCGAGGGGGCAATAAATGTGGTTTACAGCGACGAGTATTGAAACTACGATAAGACGTAAACTAAAAAGACCTACGGAAATTGAACCTTTGGAATTAAGAAACACTTTTCTACAATCACTCTTACGCAAGCGGCTTATTGTAGTACTGCACACACCTTTGATGACGAACATGCTTAGCGATCTTCTGTTCGAAGGTTTACCTGGCCTGCACCAGTCTATAGTCATTGCCTGTGTCAAACGATGACACTACGACTATGACTTGGATGATGCGGCATTTCTCGAACAAGTCGAAGTCGATCTCGCTCTTCTTTCCGTTGCGGCTTTGGCCGTGATCCATGTGCACTTCCTGTTGGTCTTCTTAAACCAGTTGTTGTGAACAAGTATTTCGTTTCTGCGATGGTCACCAGACGATCTTCTGACTCATTTTCCTCTCCGATGTCGCATAGCAATTGCTGAAATTTTCACTGGTCCTTCGTCGTCTGACCTGACTTTGCCATTGAAAACTCCCGTAATAATATGTGTGGACTTTATGACCAGTTCTTGTTCCACTTCTTGATAGAATTCTTCCTGTACCTCCTCATCAGTTGCATGTGTAGGAGCATAAGCTTGCAAGATCTTTAAGGCCTTTTTCTTGTTCGGTTGGAGGCACGCCACGCTTGGTGAGTTCATATGGCAGGAGATGATTTTGAAGGATCAGCTTTTGCAGACTACAAATCAAAATTCTCCTACGTTTTCCGCGCCCTCTTCTCTTCCTTACCAAATCTAACTGCCGTTATTCCAGACGCCACACATCTTGAGCCGTCGTGTCTTTCCTCTATTAGATCGTTTAATGTTTCTTCCCTCACAAATGTTCTATCGCTGTAAATGCGAACAACAAAGGAGGTCAGGATTGGGTTACCAGGTGGTGGATTCTAGCAGCCTGTAGAACCGAAAGACGTGCAGGTTGCTGAGGTCTATTTATTCGTCTTTTCAGAAAGCGTTGAGTTTTGTCACCCGTTGGAAGGGCTGACGGTGGCCTGTAGAATGTCATACAGACCGGTCCCCCATTTCTGTCAGGTTTGTTTAATCGAAGTTCTCTTTTCTAGCCTTTGACGAACTGACATCTAATCGCAAGCCTGCTATGACACTGGCCTCCTTGTTTCTTCAAATCAGCGGGTCGCATTCGCGTCGACCAGAGACTGTCATCAAGCATGGTGGCATTTTCTCCACAGATAGAACTTGATGGTCTCACCGACGCCTCTCTGCAACTGGTTATTTGTCGCAGCTAACTTCCATGGATGGACATTGTTCCCCTCTCCGCAAACCGGGAAAGCTCCAGGTGGCCATCAGCTAGGCGCAGTGGATTAACCAAACGGCGAATAACCGATGAATGGTTAAGGTTAGACTTGTACTTCTACAGTAATTAATCGTCCTAGTCTTGTACGTAATTTTAATTCCGTTGCTATGAAGAGAAAGCTTATTTCTGAAATAACTCTTTCGTTGGCTATTTCAACTTTAATCTCATATATTTCTATGCATATGACTATACTAATTAGAATAACCAAAAGAGTCAAGCTGGTTGTAATTGACCCTTAGCGTAGAAATCTGGAATCAAAAAATCTGTCGATGAGCAAATGTGATCTCTCATGAAAATCTTGCCGAAGACGGATAGCAGTCGTTAAGGGGCCATGCAGGGTTCGTGTGGGAAGTACAAATTCAACATTAATAGCTTGGCAGCTGACGTAGATTCCGTCCTTCTTTCACACCGTGTGTGCTGTTGGTAACGGTGCCATTATTCGTGGTCTTTGTGCTTCTCATCGTTCTAATAGCAGTGATTAGCGACAGTTCTCAGCTTACCGTTTGCTCGTGCCAGAGACGAATTTCAGTCTGTTCGTTCCTGCTAAAAGTCAGGGTGTTTTGGTCATCTGCATTATTTGGCAGTTCGATGATTTCCATTATTCATTCACGTAGTTTTCACATGTACGTTTTCATAAGCAACGCGGCGCTTCAAAGAGAATCTTCGGCACGTGCTCATCGACTTTCCCGCATCCGCCCATTTAATTCCTTCAATAATCGGTCGATTCGAACATCTAATGCATAAGTTGATTTTCATTTTTCTCTTTATTGTTTTTGATGTCTGACTTTCATAGGGCAGTTCTCCTTTTCCTGTTGTCAGATCGTTCCGAATGAATCAGTGGTGATTTGCGGATTTGAGCCAATTTAAAGAAACGTTCTTAATCGCCGAAAACTCATAAAGACAAAAATCTGATTAGGCACTAGGTTCCCACAGAATTTCTGTAGTAAAACCGAAAGTTAAGTTATTCATTGGACCAGTTACAATCCGGGGAACAAGGTGAAGGCAGATTTGTTAGGCTTTCCAAAAAGAATATTTCCTTCCACGATGCAGTAAATGGTTCCCTACAGCAGAAGTGCTGCAGAATGGCAAACACGGTGGAGGCAGTGGCACAATGGGCTAGCAGATTGTTTTGCACGTTGCAGTGTCGAGTTCAGTCCCACCGCGCGTCGCAAATATTCTCTTATAAACTGCTAATTCTTTAGAGCAAGAAATTTGTCCACTGTGCTTCGGTGCAGCCGGCCAAAAAACGAGTAGGTGATCTGGGAATAATACGAGTAACATGGTGTTTTGGTGTGGCAATGCTGAAGCGTGCGAGGCATGGGACCATGCTGTCTGATGCGCGCACCTTCCGGCTGTAATTATTCTCGACCCACCCGATAGCTGATTAAAAATCAGCACAATATGAAAATTTAAATTTGAAAGAAATATACAGCGATCTTCAAAAACCAGAGAAGTTCTGCGTATGCAAACGACCGAAGGTCACGACCTCATCAAATAAAATAACACAGCCAATTGATTCGTTGATGCAATTCATGAAATTTGCCATCACATGTGAGATGCATTTTGCGTTAATTTCACACTCAAAGAAAGACGACATAACTGATTGTTTTAGGAAAGGTAATTTTCCTCTTCTCCCGTTCTGAAAATATCCTGCACTGAATAATAACATAGAGTCCGAATGAGAGGGAGACCGATGTCACTGACGGTGTAATAGAAACCAGATCACAGACAGACAGATTATCTAGTGACAAAGGCCTGGAATACTGCCAACCCCTAAGTTTTGAGGTCGTTTAAGAAGGGTTGCGTATGACCTCTAATTCGAGGTACGTTACCTATCTACTTCAGTAACTCGATGCATCATCAGTGGCTCATGTCGTGTACAGCTTTCAAAATGGCGACATTGCTTGGCAGTCTAATGCTGCAGGAATGGATAGACAACATCGTTAGTCAACTGGTCGAAACTACGGCTTCACACAGTTCAAAGATATTGATAGAAGCAAGACAACGCCTGTGCGCTGTCCTAGTCACTAGTCGGTCTAATTGACAACAACAACAATTAACTGACTCTTC